ACAGACAGAGCAGACGACAAGCATCGATGCCCGCCAAGCACAACACGGGAAGAAACGAAGAAAGAGAGAGAGAGAGAAAGAGAGAGAGAGAGAAAGAGAGAGAGAGAGAGAGATGAATCAAAAAAAAAACGCCATCAGCGAGTGTAGCTGTGCGCCGTGGCGGGGTCCACTTGTACTCATAAAAAAGAATGAACCTAGTCGGAAACATGGCCAGATTCGTGCTAACTTGGCACAATAAATAGCACTCAGTCTCATCCATCAGCAAGCAGGAGTTGTAAGGAGAGGGGGAGGGAAAAGGGGGAGGGAAAAGGGGGAGGGGAAAGGGGGAGGGGAAAAGGGGAGGGGAAAGGGGGAGGAAAGGGACGGGGGGGGGGAGAAGACGGCTCGAGGATAACAGGGTACTTTGAGTATTACCTGCATTTGCTGCAGACTTGATGCGGGCGTGATGAGGACGCTCAAGTACTTCAAACCCTCTTGGCGGATAAACATAGCCCTGACAGCTACTTCCCTAAGCAGCACCGACAAGCAATTTACTGCACCAGCGACAGCTTTAGACGTGTGTGATGAGTGTCGCAGCTGTAGAAGATCCAGCCATTCATGAACACACCAGAACATAGGGTGAGGCGACATCAACACGATGATCGATCGAGAAACAAACCGATTAGGCAAGTGTCTGAAAAAAGTTTCCTTGTTATTGCCCAACAAAAAGCAATTGCCTGCACCAGCGACAGCTCCGAACGTATGTGATGAGCGTCGCAGCTGTAGAAGATCCAGCCATTCATGAACACAGCTGTAGTAAAAAAAAAAAAAAAAAACTCTGGTAGCTCCATCAGACAGACAAGATGAAATAGGTAACAGGAGATTCCCCACATGCTGTTTTCTGTGAACAGAATGCCACAGTTGGCTGTACCACTGTCCGAACGTACACAGACGTTGCTGCCGGGCTGGTCTGGTCCAACAGTGGCATTCTTCATTTTCTTGTCAGAAGAAGTGGTGGCACCCTTTACAACTCTCGCAATAGATCAGTATCGACAGCTAAAAAGGTCTTTTTTGTAGAACCCACAGGATTTGAACTCCTGATCTGTTTATCAACAGTTAAAAATGTGTGCCATACGGTATGGTATGGAAACCCTCTCACATTGATAGATCAGTGTCCACACCTACCATCTTGTCCAGCCAAAGCCAGCCACATCCCACACAAACTTGAACAAGAGAGACAGAGAAGAGAGAGACAGAGAGAGAGAGAGGGGAGAGAGAGAAAGAGATAAGCATACCTGAGAGCAGAGCCATGTCACAAATCTCTGGAGCACATCTTCAACCCCAGTGGCCACAGACACCCCTGAACCATCACTCGCCCGAGCTTCCTCATCCTTGGGCCGTGAACTGACACGCACACGCACGCACACACACACACACACACACACACACACACACACACACACACACACACACAAACAAACACACACACGCACGTGCATACATGCGCACACAGAGAGGTGTAAGGACTACGAGCTGTCAATCTGATGTGTATGTGTAGATCTGAACTGCAAATCTGAAGTCCAAATCTCGACTGGAAATCTCATGGCGCCTACCAACAGTCGTTATCGTTGTATCTAGACTGAAAGTTGCCTCAAATACAGCTATGATGACCATGCGTTCGGTCCATTCAGGGGAAAACGGTGTCGGGCAACTCCTCCGACGTCCGGGTCCAGTTTATATCGGACTTGGACCCCCTCCCTCTTTCTTCTCAAGACCGAACCATTTGGCAGGACCTCCCCCTTATTGGTTTCAAGGAAGAAAACACCATGTAGGAAACGCGAGGTCAAACAAGCGGGCGGTTTGTTTTCCCAGAGGAGGCCAGGCCACAAAAACTCGCATACAGTTTGCTCATTTGAAGGAAAAGAAACAGGTACCTTGATGAAGCGAGGTCCACAAATAGTTTGTTCACTCAAAGGAGAAGGACAGTCCGCCTAACAAGGCGGAATTCGCAGACAGTTTATAGAAAAAAAACAGACCAGCACTCTAGAGGGCTCGTACTTTCGCTCCCCCCCTTCTCGCTGCTCTCTTTGCTCTCCCTCCCTCACACACACGCGTTCAGGCAAAAAAAACCTGAAAGTATGCCACTGTTCTGACGTTCAGGCTTTACAACCAGAAAGGACGACACTGTCTTAGAAGAAGGTCAGTGATGTAACACCAACGGAGACCCAAGGCACAGAATCCGAATCTCCACAGGGCCCGTTATGGCACCACGAATCGACAAGGCACTTTGTTGACGTCAGCGGCCACGACCGCAGTATACGAAGACGTCGAACCCGTAGTCATACGGCCAGACCAGGTACGTGACCTCCTCTCTCTCTCTCTCTCTCTCTCTCTCTCTCTCTCTCTCTCTCTCTCTCTCTCTNCCCCGCCCCAGACGGCTGTTGGCCCCGCCCCCGACCCCGCACCCAGAGACACCACCGTCCCACCACTGGTGGGTGTGGCCCCGGGGGGGGTCCGGAATGGGGCGCAAAACCCCATTTGGGGGGTTTGGCCCACGGGGTGCGCGTTCTCGCTGCGCACCCCCCATTATTTTTATTTTTATTTTTTGTTCTTTTTGGGGGGGATGGTCCGGACGCGGGCCCCAGGGGTGCCCAACCCCGGACCCCCGGGGCCCTGCCAGGGCCCCGGGGCCGGGGGTCTACAACACTGCTCTCCAGTATAGAAACCTCCTGACTACGATGACACATCCCCACCCACTATTAGCCAAGACTTTCCTCGTTACTGTTTCACACACCAAACAACTCACTTTACTCAGTTTACTCCTACTCTCTTCACAAAACCAACAACTCCTCCCACAAAAATTGCACATCCCCTCCCTCTACCACTCTCTCCCTCTCCCAATTGGCTGTTTTTTAATCACTCTGGATGCAGCAGCAGCAGCATGCCAATGGTGGAAAATTGGCCCCCCAAGGGAATATGCCTCAACAGGCTGAAGGCGGGAAAGTGTTTTGGCCTGCAGCGAAACAGGCATTCAAGAAAAACTTTCGCCGAGCGATGAGCTGAGAGCCTCAGTCGTTTCATACTGTTTTTTTTTTTTTTTTTTTTTTCCTGATTCACCAGAGCACTAGATGCTGCTGCGGAGGGGGACATCCACATAAATAATCAAAGTGCTCTGTATCTGGTCGCTGAGCAATCAGATGTTCAAAGCTCAAATCCATTCATAAAAAGCGCTTTGTACCTGGCCTGAGAGCAATCGGATCTGAAAAAAGATTATAAAAAAAAAAAACGTTTTTCGCATTTTTGCATCTAACCCATCCATATTGGCGATAATTTGACAGATCCATCCAGAACAAAGTGTCTTGGAAGTAGTCGTGTCAAAACCCAGAAAGTTCACAAAAGAAAAAGAAAGCAGCAACCAAAAAAAGAAAACAAACAAAAAAGGCGGCAAGAAGCTCGCGCCAAGCAGTCGACAATAAAAAAAAATTTGCGACCAGACACCAAGCAGCGCTTCATACAAGGTGCAAGGCCGTGCTTAGGTAACGTCAACAAGAATTTTGCAACAGCTTGAGAAGGTGCAAGCTCGCTCACCTTCGTTTTCTTTTCCTCTTTTTTTCCTTCCTTTTTATTTTCTTTTTATTTTTCTTACTTCTATGTGTTCCAAAAGATGCAAACTAGCTCTCACCTCAAGAAGCTCAACAACAATTTCACATCCCCCCGATGCCTTTCTCACCGACTCAGATAGGTGTGCCCTCCAGTGGCTCCTCGCTAGACGTAGTCATGTGCCAGTGTCATGCTCAGGCCCAAGGGCTAAGCCCCACTTTACACCTTCCATGCTTTTCTCTTCTCTATACCACTAAAGGAAACAGCGGTCCTCGCGTGGGGCCCAACAGAAACCGGCGGCCGCCGCGCGGGACCGCTGTCGGGCAGTGGGCAAGGAGAAACCAACGGCGCGCCGGTGCCAGGAAGCGGCCGCGGCGAAAAAGGGCGACCCCGGGCCCGACAATCGGAGTACATACATTGCCACTTTTTGGCTTTGCGGGGTTTACACTTTCTGCGGATGCGAATCCATCGCGGGAAGGCGGGAAAATACATTGCCATTTTGGGGGGAACGGGCCCACGGAGGTACACACGACCGAGCAGCTGCAGCGGGCTGACGCGGGCGGGGTGCGCAGGGCAAGCGGCGCGAGACGGTCGGGTCGATGTGAAACGGGAGCACTGTGGGAAAGGTGCAGCGGGAGGAGCCGGGG